TATTACCAGGACAAGTGATGAAAGTATTACCAGGACAAGTGATGAAAGTATTACCAGGACAAGTGATGAAAGTATTATCAAGACAAGTGATGAAAGTATTACCAGGGCAAGTGATGAAAGTATTACCAAGACAAGTGATGAAAATATAGCTATACAACTAAAAGAAACTTCGGAAAATCTTGTAAATGCACAAAGTGATGAAATTGTTATTAATTCTCAAAACGATGAAACTGGCATGTCCGATTCGGTTATATTTCAAGAAAGTATTATCGGAACAAGTGATGAAAATATAGCTATACAATTAAAAGAAGAAATTGTTATTGATTCTCAAAACGATGAAACTGGCATGTCCAATAATTCAGTTACATTTCAAGAAAGTATTACCGGAACAAATGATGAAATTATAGCTATACAACTAAATGAAACTTCAGGAAATCTTATAAATGCACAAAGTGATGAAATTGTTATTGATTCTCAAAACGATAAATCCGGCATGTCCAATTCGGTTACATTTCAAGAAAGTATTATCAAAACAAGTGATGAAAGTATTATCAAAACAAGTGATGAAAGTATTATCAAAACAAGCGATGAAAGTATTATCAAAACAAGTGATGAAAATATAGCTATACAACTAAAGGAACCTTCAGGAAATTTTATAAATGCACAAAGTAATGAAATTGTCATTGACTCTCAAATCGATGAAATTGATATTGATTCTCAATTTGATGAAATTGATACCGATTCTCAAAATGATGAAATTGATACTGATTCTCAAAACGATGAAATTGGTGTAGATTCTCAAAATGATGATTCTGATATAGATTCTCTAAACGATGAATCTGATCTAGATTCCCAAAACGATGGTGATGATTCTTATGTAAGTTTACATACTGATAAAAATACTCAAAACGATCAATTTAATCAGGAATCATCTTCAAAAACCTTTATTCCAAATTTGAACTTTAAACGTTTCTTCACCAAGAAAAAAAGAAAAGATAAATCAAGTTATTTTGAAAAAAATGACGATGATGATAACAATTTTGCGGGTACTTCTAATAATTTTATAGACGATACGTTAACTGAGCTACCTCGCAATGCAATTCCAACTAAACAAAATAGTCAGAACTTTCAAACAATTCCACCTGATCTCATTACTGAAAATGCTGTGACTACTCGTTTTCACATAATGATGCCGAAAAAAGGTTTAAAGAAAAAATCTATGGTTTTTGTTATTGGTAATATTAGAGAATTAGGTGATGAAAGATATGGAATTGTAAGCCTCAAAAAACACTTGAAAAATCCTATACATTGGTATTCTGATCCAATAAGTATACCACTTAGGAGTCTTGAGGGCAGGTCTTTCTTCTATCGTTATTTTATTTATAATGGCACTAAAGGTGGTTTAACAAAAAAATTATTTGGACAATTATCTACCAAAGCTTCATCAAACGAAAATACAATTCCTGATCTTCAATATGATAAAAAAAATTGGGATCATGATTACAAAAGGCGTGAATTCTCTTTCAGGGAAAATCATTTTGATGTATGGTGCAATTCTGATAATAGTGAATATCATTTAAGATTCAAAGATATAGAAAAGTATTATCCG